TTATCCATTTTAGACCATTCGGTGTAGATCGCTATCTGTTCCAGTGTTGTAAGGAATCCCGCCTCCCAATCCCCTCTTGAAGAAATTTTGGTGGCGAAGTTATTGTCGAATTATAACCGAGGACATAGGTAGTCTGAATCCCTGCTATCATCTATCGGCTAGAATGATGCAATATTACCATGTCCCAAAGCAATCGAGCGCCAACAGTTTAATCAATCATAAGCCTCTGCTCTGCGGCGGCCAATCACTGAGGATGGTCTCTCGCCACTTTCACTGAAGGAAAAAGAGTGGCTTTGTTGTTTTGGTTTGACATTAGCTTCGCATCCCCCGTTTCCAGTTCTTTGTGCCGTTTCCCTCCCATCCGGGAATTGCTCACTAGCGAAGAGATGCGACAGTATCTCGATGAAATTGTATCTTGCTGCCGTCTCCTCGTACATGGTGTCGTTCACTCTTGACTCTCAGGGACGAATCAGTGAAGCAGGGACTGGCAACAGACCCTCATCATGGAAAGATACTTCCCTCTACTAATGGCGCGGGTATTTAACAACACGCGTCGGCTTCGGTCTAGTTCATTCTTTTTAATTTGCTCTCAATTTTCCGCTGAGGGCTAAAAAAGTGCCCGCTGATATTTGATTTTTTGCGATGCATATTGGCGTTCTTTTGCGTGATTCGACAACATGTGCTTCCTCACTTGCTAAGGACGCGAGAGACAGTTTTAAGCGTTGGCGCGCGGTTGACATTCGGTCTACTTTGACTGGTTGCTGGAATACTGTCGTTGGTTTTGGATGTAGTTTGGATTGGATTAGACGCCGGTGTACTGTGACTGGTACAACCTGTATTGGAATCGACAACGATCCTGTCGTCCGATTTCAGCAATTCGTCCTCCGTAAGTTTGGTGGGTTTATATTCTCCAGCCACGAGTTCCGAGACAGTATCGGAAGCATTCATAACATGTTCATAATCGTCCACTTTACCCGGTAAGACAGGCGCGGCGGACCCGAGAAAAGTTGGACTAAAGAAGCGATCACCACAGCAGTGTCCCATACCATGAAACATACTCCCCAAGGCGGTCATTTATTGGAGAGGTTTCGCAAAAATATAGTCGGACAGACCCCTTGACTGCAAACCTACGTTCGGTGAGCACGGATCGCGTAACACTCTCGTGTTAAGGTGAACTTCAAACAATTCCTCCTGACCTCAGCTGAGCACCTTCCTGATAACGTACAGAACGAGAACTGTGTGACCCATTACCAGACGGCACCCTCGTGGAGGGTTCAGTAGAAGGATTTTTTGGCATCCATTAAGTATTATTGATAACATCAAAATTTCGTTTTTTTGCATTCCAATATCCCACGTTTTAAAATGAGTAAGTGTTTAATTAATTTAAAACGCTTTTCCCGCTTGTTCATACCCTTCGTATCAGTAATTCTATTTAAACCCCCACATTTACACACATAGTTTTATTTTTTTCTCCTAATTTTTATGTATTATATGTATTTTGTGTGATTTTTCGTTCCCTCAGATGTCAAAATAAATGACACTAAAGAGTAACAGCGCAGCATGTGAATGCTGTATATGTGCATGTGTGTGTGTAGGAGAAAACAACACATTACCACGGTTATAATTTTACCCACCTTTGTGTGTGTTCGTTTTTAATATTGCTATTGGTTACCCATTAGCCGCTGCCACATTTTGATTTCATTTTGCACGTGTAATGCAACAAAATCAAATGAACTGACATTTGTGTAGCTGCTAAACTCAACTGTGTAGCGTGTAGGATCTGTGTAATCTGTGGTTTCTACCTACTGTTTGTGTGTAATGTGTGTGTCGTGCAAAATGCATTTGGTTGGTTAATGATTGTTTGTCAGTAGAATTTTCGTAAACTATTTGGTATAAAACTTTTCGCATTTAAACGTAACGTAACGTAACGCAACGTTGAATTGAATGTGCGTAGAGCATAAACAACAAAAACAAGAAGAAAAATATTCTCAACACAAACAAGAGCATTGCTTCAATAGCAGTGCTGCCAATGTGTTGGCATGTCCAGCTGTCTAACTTTTGAATGTTTGTTTGTGTGACGTTATACGCGTACCGAACTGCAAGTTTAACGAATGTAGCGTAACTAACTCCAAGCAATGAAAACTTAAATTATCGCATAGTGGACAGATAGGCAAAAGGACAGACAAACAATTGTGCAAATACTAATCGCAAACACTGACACGGTTGTATGTATGTATTGGTGTGTAGATGGCATTTACACATGCAAACATTATGTACATATATATATATATATATATATATAGTGCATGGAAACTCTGTGTGTTTGTATGTACGGCATAGAGTGTTTTCGTTTCATGGTCTATTGCTCATGCGAGTTAGACATTGCATGCAGCTTCTACACCGCTCTGCACAGTTGGCGTTGTGATATGTTGCCGTTTGGCACATTGCGGTACGGCAGCAGTAAAACAGCGCGCCATGATAGGGTATGTATTGCGGTTTGAGGCAAATAAAACTTTT